AGAGACATTAAGGAGTGTGAAGTGCTGATCTCCAACAGAAGGTGTTACATCTTGGCCAACAAGGAAGGCCCATTGACACCAGGCATACCATTGGGGAACATTAAAGAGGACAAAAGACTTTGTTGCTCATCTCTTTCCCCTCACCTCAGGGAGATGAGTCATGAAAGTGGATTCCTCCCATCAGCTGAGTTTACAGCTCAGAGCACATGTGGGGAAGGGAGTAAAAACCCCTCACAAGAAGGAACGATATCTCTATGCTGCTTGGACTCTGGGGAGCAAGGTTTTCTAGGCATAAGCAAGAGAACCCCAGTGCTTAGCCTGGGTTAGCCCTAAAGGACATATAGAGCTTGCTTACTATAGAAGGGTTCTATTAGCTTTTGAAACTTCAGATTGGTTTCAGAGTAGCAGCCGTGTTAGTCTGTATCTGCAAAAAGAAAAGGAGTACTTGTGGCACCTTAGAGACTAACAAATTTATTCGAGTTGCTCACAAAAGCTTATGCTCAAATAAATTTGTTAAACTTAAGATTGTAACTCATTTGTGTATCTGTGTATCATTTGTGCTTTAACTTTATAAATAACTCTCTTATTTCCTTTTCCTATTTAAGGAATATGTGTACATTTTATTATAGGACTGGCTACAAGCATTATCTTTGGTGCGAGATCTAGGATACAATTGACTGAGGGTAAGTGACTGGTCCTTTGGGACTGGGATATTGCTGTGATTCTTAGTATAAAGAACCACCTATCACAAAGGTAAGTTTACCTGAGTGGCAAGACAGAATGGAAGTACCCAAGGGGATTGTCAGTGACTCCATATTAAGGCTGTTATAGGGCCTGGGGAGTTTCCACTTGAAAATTGGTTGGTGAAATAAATATAAAACTCACAGCCAATTTGGGATTTGTACCTTGCCTCTTAATAGTCTGCCCTGAGGTTGGTACTTATGCTCTTGAACCACTGCAGGGCAGCTTGATAAGGAGGACTCAGCATCACCTCCCAACTCTCTGCAGAGCCTTGGGTCCAGCACCACAGGTAACTGTATCGTCTATATGAATCCCAAGGCTGAGGAGGGTCGGGGCTACTGGGTTAGGCTGCATAAGCAAAACTGCATCAGGAAGCAGCAGAGCAGCTGCAGGATGCAGGGGGTGAATGGAGGGCTAGCAATGATGTTCCCCATGTGCTGGTAGTTCAGTCTGCAGTGTGAGATTGTCAGCTGTTAACTGCCCTGGGCAAGGGCCATGCTCTTACTAATCTTAGTTTGTCTGCTGACAGATCAGTTCTCTCTTCATGTTTACAAATCCCAAACAAGGTTTGGTGAGAGCTCCGTAAAAGGACCCGTTTCAGAGTAGCAGCCGTGTTAGTCTGTGTTCGCAAAAAGAACAGGAGGACTTGTGGCACCTTCTCGAAGGTGTCACAAGTCCTCCTGTTCTTTTTTCATAAAAGGACCCGTGTGCCAGCAGGGACATGGCTTTATGGCATTTGTGTTACAGCAGCGGAGGGAGACTCCTCCAGGGAGGCAGAGGGAGGCATTGACTTCCCTGCTAGGTGTCAGAGCTAGGATAATCTCCTCTTGCTGCTGGAAATTGGCTTTGAACCCCATCACTTGTCAGTTTTACCTTCCTACTTGCAGAACTTCCCCAACTAGGAGGTGAGCAGGAAATAGGGAACTTGCTGAAGCCCAGTTGAGTCAGTTTGGCAGAGCCTCTGACAGCTAGGAGGCCCCTGCTGTGAGCAGCAAGATGGACCCAGCGGGGCCAAAGGCAAAGACAGGTTTGCTCTGTCACATGGAGCATGGACAGGCCTCACATACGAGCTCTGATGCCAGCAAAGTGGAAATGTGGCACACGTGGGAGAACATCTGTGTCCTACACACAGTCCTGCCATCGCCCAGCAGCAAAAGCCTTCTGGCTGGGAACTACCTGGAAGAGATCTTGTAAATGCCTATCAGCAGGCTGCAGGTACTCACAGACAGCATCTGGTGTGTTTCTGAAGGCTGATCAGTTGCCAGGGGAGTTGTCTCAGGCCCCAGATGCCTTCCTTGTGTCTGGTCATCACTCAGACCTCACACAGAGCAAAGCCTTGTACCCAGGAGACTGGTTTCTAGGGGGCTGTTTGATAGGTCTGGGGCAAGGGAGTTGTGGGAGAGCACTTGCCACGGGCACATGCTTTAGGGCAGGGGTTCTCAGGACAGATTTTTTGGTGGCCTCAGGGTGTGGCCACCAACTCTTGCTGGTGGCTGCTCTCACACTTTTCCCTAAAATACTTAATTAGCTTCAGGAAAAACAAATAAATGTACACATAGACATGTTCCAAATCATTGTAATTTATTTATTGCTAGCTACTAAGTCTTCTGTGAAAAGTGACATTAACAAACATACAAGTATCACTTCTCACATACGAGTATCACTTTTCACAGTAGACTTATGCAGCCCGGCCAAGCCTGAGGACAAATTAAGCCCTGGATGAGGGGCTTGGGGAGGCAGTGTGGGGCTAGAGCCTGAAGCCCCACTGCTGGAGCCTGGGGCCTACCACCGTGCAGCCTGAGCCTGGGACCCTGCCACCCCAGGGCTGAACCCCAAAGCCTGAGTCCCATCGCCCTTGGGAAGGTGGGGAACTCACTGGCTGCCTGCTCCTCCAGCGTTGTGCCCCTGGTGTCTCCAGGGGGGACAGGGCCCAACCCCCGCTGGCGGCCCCAGCAACCAACACCCAGGTGGTGAATCCAGGAGCAACAGGGAGAGGGAGGCACTGTTACGCCCCCCCTCCACACACACACACAGCCCAGGGAGCTGTGGCCGCAAGGAAAGCCCCTCGCAGCCACATGCAGCCACTATGGCCGTATTTGAGAAATGCTGCTTTAGGGTTTGGTAGTTGGGGGAGGGATCAGGCAGTGCTTAAAAGGGTGTATGGGGGCAGGGCTTCAAGGGGTCACAGGCCCAGCCAAAAAGCCAATGACATAAATATTGAGCTGGCTCTTTAAGCATTGTCTTACCAAAGCTGCTGCTTCCATGTGATGATAGACACCCCCTCCCCCACCTCCCTTCTTTCAGACCACTTTCGGGGGGCTTCTCCTGGACACTGCAAGAGGCTCTGATTCTAGGAAGGGAGTCAGGCAGGGGTGGTGGGGGACTTGTCCCTGGAAGGGGTTGGTGGGGAGAGAGCTGCAGATTTTGGCAGCTGAGGAGGGGAATACAACCCAATGGGAGGAGACAGGGAGGTGGTGCTGGGAGTCACGGACACAAGCAGCAGGAGAAGAGCAGAGCTGCCGAAGCTCAGTCCCACAGTACATCTGAGGCGATGTGGTGGTAGCCACACAGTGTGGCCCCCTGGGCTTTGCGGTGTTACCCCACAGTGCATGGTGGCTGGCCAGGGCTGCCCCACGGTACATCTCTGCTGAGTGGCGGTGTATAGGGAAGGCAGCTAAGATTACTTTGCCCTGGGGTTGACATTTCAATGGCGATTATTCCAGGTTTTCTCTGTGTGCTGAAACCCAGCTCTGCTCTTTAACTATTGCCAAATTTAAACCAAATGTCAGTTCCAGTCTATCCTGGAATCTTTCTCAGTTCACTTGTTTCCCACGAGAAAAAGCACAACAGAAAATCAACATCAGGACCTGTTAGATCCGGACTATCCCAGCTCCCACTATGCAGCTCTCTCAGCCCCTTCCTGTTTTTTCCATGCCAGCTGCACCTGTTTTCATTCCACCCCTTGCACTTGGAACAGTTTCCCAATCACACTGACAAACCAACCTCCTTCTTCTCCTTCCAAAACCACATGATTGCCCACCTGTGAAACATCCCTCCCCACTCTCACAGTGTTCGTCTTGCCCTGCAAAGTTGGAGCTCTTTGGGGCAGGGCCCTCTTATTGGCTGGATGTCTTTTACCCGTTATGCTCTTACTATGTCATAGAGCTGAGATTTTCAAAGGCCCCTAAAGGAGTTAGGCACCCAGATCACACTGAAGTTCAACCAAAGATGGGCACCTAACTCCTTTAGACTCCTTTGAAAATCCAAATCTGTACACATTAATAGCAATAACCACAATATTCCCCTGTTTCAGGCCCTCCCTATAACTAGAGCTGCCCTTGATCCCCAATGTGACCCACACCTTAGATCACAAACTCCTGCCCCCCAGTTGCTCACTTTGTGCTGACTACAATAAATTCATCCTTCAACCCAGCTCTCATTGTCTGAGATGACAATGGGACTTGAGCAAGACTCCACAGCCAGATCCACAGGGAGAAGTACAGCCCCGGCCAGTTGTGAGCCCAGAGTAGGTTTGGCTAATGTCTGGCTCTGGAACTCTGACCCGCTTCCTGTCCGTGAAGTGGGATTGCTTGAGGGTTTCTGACAGGAAGCCTTTGCAAAAGATGCCTGCTAAGAAATGGATGGTGTGGGTAAATGAGAAAAGCATGTTGACCCTATAATAGACCGTTGAGTCACTGGGTTGGCATTTGTAGACCAATTTGTGAAATGAATGAGCTGGCCAAGAAGATGAGTGCTCTGAGCATTCAGGTCTCTCTGACTCGCTCCCCTGTATGGTGAGGGCTACAGAACCAAGACAGTTTGGAGCTAGGCTGTTTAACAGCTTTTGTCCCTCACGCTGAATGGAGCTCACTGATGGGCTCCTTTCTAAATCTGGAACATGCTACGTCAAATATAGAACTTCCCCCGCTGTACAAATGGGTTGGTTATTTGTCAGCTGTATTTTATGAGGCTTTGAATTTTAACCAGCAGAGGAGTAGTGTACAGAGTACTGGAGCTGACATAAAGAAAAGACAGGGAGCAGAAATTAGACCCAGCTCTGTGTGACAGAACCATCCTGTCTGTCCTCATTTGCCCCCAGCACCCACAGGGGTGTCCCAGCAGTGAGGGATCACTGGAGCGCTGCTGCACTCTGTCCCTGCCCCCAACCCCAGTCATGCCGCCTATGCTGGGTTGGAGGTGGAGCATAGAGCCTACTACACTGTTTCTGTGCTACCCTTTTTCTACTATGCCCTTATTTTGAGGCAGTTGTCAGGCAGGGAGCTAAAGTGGCTTTGCTTCACAATGGGGATTAAGGGCTGGCTTTTTACAGGGACTCAAGCGTGGAGAACAGAGCTGTCTGGAAAAATGACAATTCCACTTCATGACAACTTTTGAGGTTTTTTGACTTTTCTTTTTTCATTCCACATTGCAACAAAACAAGAACTTTCAAAAGTTTTTGCAAAATGAAAGTGTCGAAACGTCTGGTTTTGGATCAGAACAGCCAGGTTTTTGTTCTCTCTCTGTAGCTCTTCCACTTCCCCCTCCCCGAGAGTCTACCCTGGGCCTGAGAAACTATCCTGTCAAAACTTGCATAGTAATTGATACGTTTTCACAATGTTTTGCTTTTGATGCGGTGGGACTTTTCAGCAAAAAAATGTTTAGTCAATAAGTTTCCAAACCACTGTCACAGAGAAGCAACAGGTGTGTCGTCCTGGTTAGATCCCTTCCATATTTCTGACCTGGACTTTGGAACAACTGAAGAAGTGTCTACTGCCTCCGAAATCATCCCTGGTTTTACAGTAAGTCTGATGCATTGTGTGTGTTGTCGTCATCGCTGGGCAGATGCCCAGTTTTCCCCATACACTGTAGATGTGTCCAATAAAAACACTTCAGTGAAGAATTTTTTTAGTCATAGTTCCTAAGGCTGATAATTAGTTACTTTAATACCAAGCTGTAGTGCATTGATCCAGTGAGCTTTTGGAGACGAGAAACAATACAAAAAGCAGTAGTGCATCTCGGAAGATGTTCATTATCACAGAGCCAGCTGCCCAGGCCTGATTAAGAAAAGCAAGACACAGAAACTCCCGCTGCAGGAAGATATTTGGGTGATGGATGACTGCTTGCATTTCATATCTCAACAGCCAGGCTCTGATCACACTGGGATTTCTCTGCTTGACACCATGTCTCTGATCTTTCCCAGTAAGTATAAGCCACATCTCTTTGTCTCTCTGGGAATATAATGTTATCATCTGTAGTATAGTAAACTTTTGCTCATTTCTCCCCGATTCAGGTTAAATCCAGTGTCATGAATAATTCACGGAGCCTTAATTAATATAATTTTTTCTGACATCCAGTGTTTGGGAATAGCATCTTGGGACATGTTGTTTGCAACCAATGAACTCCAGAAATAATGAATGGATGCTTATCCCATGTGAACTGGGAGCATACAGTACAGGAGGGAAATAAAGAACAGTAGGCATGTACTGTCCAAGGGACTCACTGATAGCTCTTTAATAAGGATAATGTGAAAAAGCTAAACATTGACACAGCGTCACAGTTTCCTGTTTCTTGCAGTCACGTGGCATGTTATTAACCTATATAACTGTCAGTGACATGTCGGCACAAAGAGGTAGACAAGACAGGATTGGCACTTGGGGAGGTGTGAGGCCACATTCGGAAGGAAACTACACATCCTGAATTGAAAACAATCTCTGATGACTGGAGGACTCTGGGCTCTTCCATGCTGTCTTTGCTACAAAACCCCTCTGTGTTTCCAAAAAGTGACTTGCCCCAGTGTGACAGCTTGTTTAAGATACGTGATGCCCCTGTGTATATGTCAGATGTGCATTTGCCTGTATCCCAGTGCAGATAGCTTCTGTCATATATGCATAGCTGTGTGGGTGTGCAGGGTCCAAGGTGCCTGAGCTTAGTGGTTTGCGTTGTGTATAGATGAGTGGTCCAGTACAGCCCCTGTGCAGATAGGTATGTGTTCAGTGTGTGTGCGTACAGGTGGCTGGTACGTGTGCATATTGGTTTGTTTTGTGTGTGGTTGTTTGCATTCAGGGGTGTGGTCGCAGTGCTTGTGCATATAGGGTGTTGCCACATCAAACGTCACACACCCATGTGATGGCCTCCTCTCCCCCTTTTATAGGGTGGGGCTGAGGCACAGAGCTATGCTTGACTTGTTCAAGAAGACACAGCATTTAGTGGCAGAGCCAGGATTAGGCCCCAAGAGTCTTCTCCCTTGTCATGTGGTGTGACTCCTGCTGTGCTTGTGTAGATATCATCATTGTCATTTTTTGTTACTTGCAGAGCCCCCTAGATGTGCCTGGTACTTTACGAAGCACATGCGTTCTGCCTGCCCAAGTCACTGACAGTCTGAGTGCAGGATACAAAAGGAGGAGGAGAGAAGAACACAAGGAAGGTAAGGCTGAGAGTCAGGGTCACTTGTGAAACTAGTGCAGACCTCTGGACTAATTGAATGTACTAATTTGTATTCAGTCCTGGACACACGTGTCTGTGCAAGTCTTTGCCATTTTAACTTTACTATATTAAAAATATAAGTGCTTGTGAAGTGTTTAGATAGAGCTCGGCGTCCCTCTCTACTGAGCCAGAGTTACCTTCAACAAATGCCTGGCCTGAGCTCCCTTATCAATGCTCCTTGCAAAAAAACCCCAAAAATACAAACAAAAAAACCCTACAGCCAGTGACAAAATGGACCAGCTCCACTGGCCCCACTGGCTGAGGGCCCTGTCACATGTTAGGGCGGGTGCAATAGATCATGTTGTGCTTATTCGACTCTCAAGTGCTATTTCTGTATCCAGTTGTTACAGGGCACTGATGGTTTTCTTTGTTGTGCCTTTCCACCTCTTCAGGACTAAGTTAAGAGCTGTTATGCTTGGCTTGCAGTAAATATCAGATAATAAAATCCCAGCTGCTTCTAGCAAAGGAAGGAAACTGAATGAAGGAATTGGGAGAAAACACCACTGGCCAGACCTTGCTGGCAAGGGTGTAATTATAGGGACAAGGGGTGAAGTCATGTAGCCTCTTTCAGCCTAGCAGGAACAATGTCTTCTCCTCAGCATCTTTTGGCTGGCTGTGGAGGTAAGGGAATAGGTGGGGGGACACTCCTGTACAGGGGGAAGAAGAGGAGGGTCTGAGGATAGTGCAGCAGTGCTTTAAATTCCCCCTTCTTCAGCTGTTGCCGCTCCCTAGCCTGGGTCCCTGGCTTTGTTGCCTAACCACACTCTCAGGAGGTAAGCCAGCTGCCTCCCCAGTAAGAAATCCATGTGGCTGCTCAATTGTAGCAGCAGGTCACCAGTTGGTTGACGTGGCTGATCACAGCCACTGAGATCTCCAGATCCCGAGCTTTCGGTCAGCACCACGTCCACATGAACCCAGTGGGGAAAAGATTCCTTGCACATGAGACTTGGACATGATGGATTATTTCACCAACCTGTCTAGAGGATGAGGGAGCAAGGTGTGAGATGGGCTGTGACGTGATAACCTCCACAAAAGCAGCCGAGCAGGGAGAGAGCACAAGACTCCCACTCTGCCCTGGCAGCAGCACTGGGCTTTCGATTTGGAAGAGCACAATGGGCGTGGGATGAACGGTCCCTGGCTAGCTGGATGCCGTCAGTGCCCTTTGCAAGGCACAAACATATTGTTCTTCATCGCTTTATAGAACCCAAAATCTTCTGCAGCAGATGGGTGCTGTGGTTCCAGCTTCTGTGGAAAGCTGGATGACACAGATCCCGGGGAGATCTTCGTAGATTTAATTGGGGTAAAGAGCCAAGAATCTCAGCTTAGAAATACATAACTCAAACGTTTCTTGGCTCTCTGCAATGCCACTGTATGCTGTTAGCTTGAGACTTGGAACCTGTTCTGTGCTAGACTGAGGTGACGCGTCATGCTGTGCATCTGAGACTTGGCCGAGCTTTGCGTGGGAGATGAATAGCAGCAGTTTACTAGAGCAAAGAAGACATGAATTGACCCCCAGCAAGCCATTGTGCATTGTACTGTCTCTGTGCAGGATCCGCTGCATTCAGAATTCTTGGGCCACAAGTACAACATAGAACAGAGCATCTTCCAACCAACTACCTGCAGGAACCCAATAAAGGAACAGAGATCGCAGTTAAAAGAAAAGGAGTACTTGTGGCACTTTAGAGACTAACAAATTTATTAGAGCATAAGCTTTCGTGAGCTACAGCTCACTTAATCGGATGCATACAGTGGAAAATATAGTGGGGAGATTTTATATACACAGAGAACATGAAACAATGGGTGTTACCATACAGACTGTAACAAGAGTGAACAGGAAAGGTGAGCTATTACCAGCAGGAGAGCGGGGGGTGGGGGGGACAGGGAACCTTTTGTAGTGATAATCAAGGTGGGCCATTTCCAGCAGTTGACAAGAACGTGTGAGGAACAGTAGGAGGGGGAAATAAACATGGGGAAATAGTTTTACTTTGTGTAATAACACATCCATTCCCAGTCTTTATTCAAGCCTAAATTAATTGTATCCAGTTTGCAAATTAATTCCAATTCAGCAGTCTCTCGTTGGAGTCTGTTTTTGAAGTTTTTTGGTTGAAGAATTGCCACTTTGTATATAGACAGCCTGTAAAATGCACTGGGACTCTCCAGGGAGAAAGGTACTATATTGATCTCTGTTATTATTACTATTGTTATTTCTGCTCCTCCGCATAGATGGGTATCTATCAGGCTTTGTTCTATACATTAGAAGTAAACCATAAAGCTTATTGTCTGCAGACAATAGCTGCTGCTTTTGCATCTGTCTTGCTGAATGTACACATGTATAGAAAATGAGCTAAATGATTTTTGCACGTTATTTTATTCCTGTGTAGACCATAGCAAACATTCCAATACTGCCTCCATTGCCAGCAAATTGATAATTGATAGTGTCAGAAATATTGATCATTACATATAACCACATGTCAGACAAACCATTGGTAGGTGGGCTGCAAGTCATATGCACATTGGGCTGAAGTCCTAGGAACGCTCTCTCCAGTGTGTGCTGGCAGGTCCTGAGAGGGCTTAGGAAATTCTGTAGACTAGGGCAGCATCCTAGTGTTGATGGTGTGAGCTGTTGGAATGGAGAGTCCTACCTATACATAGCACCAGCTCCCTCATAGCTCGGGGGGGCCTCATAAGCTGAGATCCCAGCAATGGAAGAAAAAAACCCCCACAACTCTTAGCAGCTGTGATGACAACCCTGAAGCCAGCGTTAGGAGACAGCATGCCCAATTCTCCATGCAAAATACCTTCACTGATGTAAATCCACTGAAAGCAACAGGCTACACGTCATGTCACTACTGCCCTGGGTCAGAGATCAACTCCCAAGGCCAGGGAAACTCAGAATTAAGCTTGCAGAGGCTCAGTCCATAACTGCCCCAGACGCGTCTGGTGTTGACAGGGCCGGCTCCAGGCACCAGCCTTGCAAGCAGGTGCTTGGGGCGGCATTCAGAATGGGGCGGCCGGCCGTGTCCCGCGACGGCAATTCGGCGGCAGCTCTGCCGCTCTTCCCGCTGCTGCGGCTTTTGGGCGGCAGCTCCACCGCTCTTCCGGGCGCGGCGGCAATTCGGCGGCGGCTGCTTGGAGCGGCAAAGTCGGTAGAGCCGCCCCTGGGTGTTGAGTGTTGAGTAAGGATATGTCAGCCTCCAACAGTGTCTAGATAGCAATGAGTAGAGCTGGTTAGACGATAGGGATTTTCTCCATGGACAGTTTTGAGCTTCATCAAAATATCAAAATTGAGAATATTTCCATTCTGAAATGCTGCTGCAGTGCCTCCTGGGAGTTGTAGTTCAGGTGCCTCCTGCTCCCATTCGCCTCTATAGATCGGACTACATCTTCCATGATGCACCATGGCCTACCCTTGCGGTGCATCGTGGCAGTCGCATGGAAAGCAGACACTTCTCATGGCAAATGTCACTGAGTTGAAAACCCAGTTTCCTGTTGAAAAACAGTTTTGACAGAAAGTTTTCAACCAGCCCTATCAGAGTGCTAGGCCGTAGGGTGCAGCCTCTCCCGGCATCCCCTTACTTTTGTGGCATGAAGCCAAATCTTTGCTGTCCCTTTGATGCATTTCTTGTGGTTTGATAATAAAGTGACTTGTTCCCCTTTTTGCATGTTGCTAAAGGAAAGGAAGAGATGTGAGACAGAAAGAGAGCAGAGCAGAGCAGATCAGCTGCAGGAAACTGGCCCTTTTCCCTCTTGTTGTAGATCGGTCAAGCTGGGGAAGTAGGATGGGGTCACAGGGTCAACCTGTGGCTGCAGCCCTTTCATTTTCTTTGCCTTCTTACCTGCTAATGGCATCAGAGATTAACAGGAGGCAGCCGAAGGATGGAGAACTGGGAGACAGCTTGGATCTAGTGCTGCCCAGAAGGTCCCAAAGGTGCCAGATTCCTGCATGGCCTCAGGTCTGTGAAAAAGGAATCTGAAAAACGTTTGCAAAATAATAATAATTAAAAAAAGACTAAACCAACCCACTGCAGATCACAGGGAAAGTTGGGATGCCAGGAAATGAGAAACGAATACAGAATGGATAAGGATGGGTCCTCCTTCCCAGCAAAGCCCTGAGTGCAGGCTTCTCTGTCCACCTGTGACACATGAGGTTGGTAATAATGCTCAGCACTGAAAGAGCACTTAGCCCCAGGAAAATACATTACAGACGTGAACAGCTTCATCTTGAGAGCATGCCCAGTAGAGGGTGATTATCAGCACCCCCATTTTACAGGAGAGTTTCTGACACTCAGGCGTGTTGTTCTTTTTAGCACACAGAGAGCTTGTATTTAACCCTCAGATCATTTTTAGTTAAACATTACAGAACTTTAACACAACAGCAACCACTGCCCGGTGCTGATGACAGCCCTCAGCTCCCTGCAAGCCAGAACCCTGCCTCTCAACTTGGAGAATGTCCTGCCGTCTCTGCAGCCACATACAACAAGAGCAGCTACTCCCCAAGAGTTTGGTGTTAAATTTCCTGAGAACCTAACAGAGGATCCAGCCCTTCTGCTTTTGTGTCTCCCCATCTGCTGAAACAATTCAGGATCTCTGCTCCACCAAGGCAATTATGTGTGCATTATCAAAGCTGCTATTCCAAAGGGGTTTATGTGGTCATTAAAATAATGAAATATGAAGGAGGATGACTAGCGGCAGCGGCTGAGTAATGCGTCTCGAGAGCTGGATTTGAAGCTTTTTCAATTTCCTTTCTCAGCATGTGCATTGGTCTCCGATTAAGCGACAGTGCTTCATCTCCACACTAGCAGATTGCACAGTTACCTTTAAAAGACCCCAGGAATGCATAACAACGAGGAGCCACTCATGCTGACTTGGAAGAGGCTGAGCTAGAGGAAACAGCTATGGTGCATTGTGAGGAACAAGCCACACATAAAATACACTGCATTT